ATTCTATATGCGTCGTCGCCTCGGTGAAGCACCGGGATAGCCGAGAACACGAACCGTTGAGATGTGAGAGATCGCCAGAGAGAGAGAGAGAGAAAGAGAGAGAGAGAGAGAGAGAGAGAGAATGATGCAACAACCGAGAAGTTTTGTAACGCTAACAAAAAGGGATTACTTCGCCGGGATCACACGGCGATTGTTGATTATGTCAATGTTATGACACTTGGAAGATTGAATTGACATCTGGGAGAAAAGAGGTCTAATAACGTTTTATTAAGACGTCGTTAATCCCTTCACCCGATGCATTACACAGATCCCGCGGCGAAGGTACATATTGACGAGTATTTAATAGTTTTGTTCCCCAAGTATGTTTGCAAAAGTATCACAAAGGAGATAAATGCAATCAATTAGCTTGCTAAAGAAGCGGAAAGATTGAGTTAGCAAAAGTGGATATTTCTTGTTCTTTAAATCGTGATGATCATATATTCAGTATGCACTCTCTTTTCTCTCGGTAGTCTTGATAAACATTTTCAATTATTGCCAATAGTTATACGGCACACAATAGTTGTATATTGGAGCGCCTCAATTTTTTCACATTTCTTGGCTAATTTAAAAGTTGCATGAAGATAATCTGATGAAGCACAAGGACAGAGAATACACTTTATTTGGTTGTATTAATTCAATTCTGGGTAAAAGAGAAAGGCCTCTCCGATTTCAGTCTTTAAAAAGCGAAATTATGGAGCGAAAGTAACGTAATAGCAAATATAAAATTAAGATGGCCATCGTGAAAGAGACTGTTGACGCGCATTCTTATCTTCAATTTATCGGATGCATTCGTTACTCCACTTTGTACATCCTTTCTCCGGTCTCATCCGCCGGAATCGTTCATTATATTCAAACGCCGGTGTTTTACATCGTTAAATTAAACATTGCCCGTGCAGCTCTCGTAACCCATCAACCTCCATTCCCGGCTGTGCCATTAACTTTCAATCTGGACACTCCATTTCACGCGGTATACATTTAATAGGTGTGCACGTCGTCGCGTCACATGGCACACAGTAACGCTAATTACAGTCACGGTAATTCCTACGCTTCTTAATTAGCGACTGCGAGGAAAACGGTATTACGGGGTTGTCGGAGGGTCGTCGTTACGCGCGAAAGTTAAATAAGAAGGGCGAGATGTATTAGACGCGGTGGATATTCTTCTCCGATTTTACGTTGCGCATTCCGAGAGATTTAGTTCCGAAACACAATAGATGTAGTAAACTGTAAGAAATTAATTAAAATCGTAATCAATTATTCTCTTCACATTCGACTGCAATTGGTCTTCTTCAATTTCTTACGACTTAAGGCTTAAGCTTAAGTTTTACGCCTTAAAATCTCATTGCACCACTTTAAGCGGCGTCTACAATGAGACTTAAGACTTAAGACTATGAGAAAACTGACTAAATCACAATCGATTATTCGATTCTCACGCGAGATGAATAATCGACTATGATTGGCCAATTTTCTTGAATCTTAAGTCTTAAGTCTCATTGTAGACGACGCTTTAACTGTGCCGCGTTTAGACCACGATTCCATTGTGTTATACTCGAAGACGAAATATCCTTTTTATACGTTCGCGTTTCGTCGTCAACACGTCACGCGAATATTGATGACTACTATAATGCGAAAATGCCATTCATCTTCGCGTCGTATATCTCAGCGCGAACGCGAAAAACCGCCCATTGGCACCTATTTCGTATAATGTATTGGCAGACGTAAAAGAAGGAGCCGCGAGCTCTTTGATGTGCGATGACTGATGAATATATGGATGCTGTTGAATTATACATTTAGTAAGTTCAAGTCACCGTACATTCTATTTTCATGCGCTCACAATGGAGATAGACGAGTTTGTTAGAACTAGATAATAAATAATAAATAATTCAGCATTTTACTTTTGCTAGCATTCCTTACGTAAACTTTCATGTCACTCCACAATCTTTACTTTCTATTGGTAATTGTATGAAAATTCATCTCGTGTTGCTTTTTCATGATAGAATAGGTAAAATAAGTCAGTCACCCTTGTGATTTAAATTGAAAAAAATCGTCTGTTGTAATTTTAATTAGACTACATCAAATTATTGAAATAATATCGTTTGAGAATATCATTGCAGTTGAGAAATGAATCATGTCTCCTAAATTATTACCCTCGTGATAATCTTTTGTAAATTAAAAAAAAATCGTCTGTTGTAATTTTAATTGGACCACATCAAGTTATAGAAATAATATCGTTTGAGAATATCGTTGCGGCTGAGAAATGAATCACGTCTCCTAAATTATCACCCTCGTGATAATCTTTTGTAAATTAAAAAAAAATCATCTATTGTAATTTTAATTGGACCACATCAAGTTATTGAAATAATATCGTTTGAGAATATCGTTGAGAAGTGAATCACGTTCCCTCATTCGGTTCGAACGTGTCTGATGTGAAAGCATTGTTTTTTGAAGAATTCCTCGAAAGCCGATATTCATCTATCGGCTCCCGTGAATTCAGGTTACAGACAAATTAAGAGATCGTGAGAAAATCCAACTCGCGTTTTTTTTCGATGGCTTTCAGAGCCAAGCAGAGTCGCTTTCCGAACCGCAGGATGATTAGGGAAACTAAAGAACGGTTTTTATTCGTTCACTCTATGAACGCGTTTTGCTAACGGCTTTGTCGTGTCGTTCGCTCTCCTAGAAAGTGGTTCGCCTCGTATTTGTCCTGGCGACTGAATGACTGTCATTAGTAAAACCATCACGAAGCGACGACATTTTTACGTGTCGCACGAGATCAATCCGGAAGTCCATAATTCGATCCGGTCGATTGCTTTGTTCTAAAATCGAATCGAGTGCTGTCACTGATTAATTGAAAGTTGCACTATATACATATTTTAATAATACTCTATAAAAACAATTCTAAATTAATTATAAATTTAGGCCTCCATAATTCATGCAATAATTGCGCGTCTGATTTGATCGAGGATGCTGTAAAAATCATGTTTTTAAAAATTTCACGAGGGATTCGCAGAGACTACGTAAAAAATGTTAGTAATTAGGATTTGTATACGTTGCAAATTCAGCACATGCGAGCATCATAAAAGTCTTGTAACCCCGTAACCTCGAACTGCTGAACACACTCAATGGCGTTGGCAAATGTTCAGCGTTCCCGTTTCAAAGAATTGTCGACTTTCTTAAGAATTCCATAATACTACCTTGGTGTATAATACGACACGTATGGCTTGGTATTTCTGTCGAGAATGCCCTAAATTGTACGTAATCAGCATCTGCATAAAGGCATGTGTGTGTGTGTGTGTGTGTGTGATGGAACTGTTACTGTCAAGGCTTTCCAACGGGCTTAAATTTCTAATTACATCTTCGGTGTATTTTCCAACAAGCGAAACTAAACGGTGTAATATAAGTTGGAGAAGCTGATTTTCTCGTGATTAGTATAGCAAGCGAAACTCTTCGTAAAGTTGAAGAAGTTTAATACTCGCATAATTACGCCGAGCAGGCTGTACATAAAAAGTAGTACGAAGTCTTACTATTATACCAAGTGTGGGAGCTCTTTTGTTCCCCTGAATTCAGAACACGAGGCGTTCTTCTTTCGAGACCAGATTCCTCGAAATAACTTTTCGTCGTAAATTTCAATTCTTAAATGTATGTTTTAATCGATATATCACATGTATAACATATATTAATACATTAACAAACAGAAAATGATTAAATCAAGGTCAAGAAACGAGTAAATTAAAAAGAATTGGTTGTAAAATTTAAAAATTTCATTTTTTTCGCGTCGATTATAAGTGTTCTTATTGTAACACGTGCAGGCTCTCCCCTTTTTATGACTATATGTATCATTTTTTAATTTATTTTAATTAATTTATTTGTTTATTTGTTTTAATATGCGGATTAATGTTTATTTATTTATTATTTAATTGTATTAGGAATTCGGATTAGCTGAGGAAGACTCTGTGTAGTCGAAACGTACTGTTGTTTCTGATTGATTTATGTATTTTAGTAAAAGAATTTTTAAATTTTACAACCAATTTAATTTGCTCGTTTCTTGGCCTTGATTTAATCATTTTCTGTCTGTTAATTTCACACACGAGCGTGGTTTCTTTGTAATTTACATTAATACACTGATCAAAATATTAATATACAAATTAATAGATATTAATAAATGAATTATTAAACGCGTAATTTGAACAACTTTATCATATCATTCTCATTAATGTGGTTTTTTTTTCTCAAAATTAAGCAAGATGATTTTTAAAGGAATTCTTTAGTTATACTTTTGCGATGTACTTGTGAAATGCATAATTTTTCGAGTTTCACTTAGCTCTTCAGAAGGATCGTGTCTTTGCGGTAATAATCGTGATGATTCTCACTCATGTTGCGCTAAGCGTATGCACGAATGCACTCCCAGGCACGTTGCATCGCGGATGTACCTACATAACGCGCGTTACATGAAATTGCGGCATCGCGTTGATTAACGATCGCATTTGTCTAGGGGCGACAGATTTAGAATTTCGAAGCACAATTCACATTTAGGAGTTCCTCTACAAGGATTGCTTTTGTAGTCCTACGTTCTACGTGACTAAAGTAATCTTCCCAATTACATTGCAACACTAAAAATCGAACCTCCTTACTTTAATGACATCAGCTAGCGAATGAAAAAATAATATTTAAATATTTTATAGATGCACATTTATATATATATATATTTATAAATGCTGATGAAAACACTGTAATGTGAAATTTTAATTCGTGAAACCGGATAATCGCAGTATTTTACGAGATAAGTTAAGCTATATATTCACAGAAAATACTATATGGGGACCTTTTGGCACCCGAGGGGGAACCCTAAACGACACTGTTTACATCGTTACATAAATCGCCAATAAATCACCCGTATAGATTCGACGCCTGACGTATCTTGCGCAATTCCCTACACAAACGATCAACGTTCTCTTCCTCTGTTCAAGGTCGGGAATATGAGGGCCATCTACTTGCTCCTCCTCGGCGTTGTCGCCGTGAGTGCCCAGCGTCGCTTAGCCTTGCCCGAACCGCGAAGCTGCGCGAACCGTAAGTATTTTCCAGCGACATTTCGTAATCACGCTCTAACTTAGCGGCTGCACGGTTAATTAACTAGGTGGAAAATCGCTGGAGACCCCGTCGTAGTCGGAGAGAACAAAAAAAAAATGAAAGACAGAGAGAAAGAAAAAGCGGGACGATTGCGGGATGCTCTTCATTCATTAGAATACGCTCGCCGTGTCGTAACGCGCTTCGTGTAAACTGGCTCGCGTTAAGCATCAAATGATTGCGCGTAGGATTTGCTCCATTTATGATCTTTTATAATTAAGCGAGACTCTTCGCGATACGAAGTGAAATCGCTCGACAATCGCTTTATCTAACAAGCCTTAAATTCTTTGAGACATTTGTATAACGAAGTACGTCCATTCTCTTTAAAGAAATGCGGATGAGAAGAAATAGATATAAGGTTAAATTTGCCTCGACTCTTGCTCAGACAAGAGATCTTCGCGCATCCATCATTTCTGCCGTAATAAATTTCCATGACACGCACGTGTGTCACGCAAAGTTAATTATGGAGGCGGCGAGAGATAAGATCTCGACGCGGTTGACGATAGTATTATAAGCGATTCATTCATATACGCGCGTTCGTTTCCTCAGGCGTCCGTCACGCGTCGTACAGAGATGGCAGGGGGGTCGGGCACTCGTACTTCTTCAGCTGGGAACACGGACCGACCCGGAATCTCGAGGTGGACTGGCTGGACGCTCGCAACATCTGCCGCCGTCATTGCATGGACGCCGTGTCCCTGGAGACCCCTCAGGAGAACGAATTCATCAAGCAGAGACTAGCGAGAGGTGAGCTCTCCGATGACAGCTGGCTCGAAATCCACCGTCGGACCTCCTCGAAGCCGCCGCGCACTTTGATTCCCTCGCCAGAGGATTGGCAACCTTACGTAATCCTCCTCGCTACGCGAATAAAAATTTCCGTTTGAGGATCAAAGGCCGAATCAACGCGAACTTCTTGATTTCGACAATCGAGAGGATTGATAAATGGTAAATTTAATCGTCGGTTTGAGTGACGCAACGCAACAGGTAGCCAATCACTGTCGCGACGAGCTTTAAATGGTAATTTCTTCCCGATGACTTTTGACGCCCTGAGAAAGTTACAAAGCGCAACTGATTTTCGCGTAAGCAATTAAAGATACACGAATCTACGAATTGAATTTTCGTGAAAATAATTAATATAAGGAGCCTTATAATTTAATTTACTACTGACAAAATTTTCCATCGCGTCCCTCTTCGTAATCGCGTTTAGGCTGCACACCGTTTTACAAATAAAAAAATAAGAAATGCCTTTCGTTTCGTTGAACGTGTCCTATGATATTAAGTTGAAAATTAAATTCAATTCGATGACAATCCGTTAAGTATCCTTTTGATTAGAGAGGGAAAATAATGTGTGTTGCGGTTATTAATACTGCTATAAAAGGTTATTAATACCTGCTGTAACTGATTTGATCGCTACTCCGATCTATCCTTTTACATCCGCGAAGACGAGCTTCGAGAACAATCAGATAGCCGATAGGTCGTAAAGATTAAGGAATAATTAGTTGATTACGCTCGACTCGATTGGAGATTTCATAACAGCTGAGTGTGTCAATGTCGTATTAATGTTTACACTCTTCTTACGATTTGTACTCTGTGAAAATACACCATCGCTGATTATGTCATCTTCGGACGCTTCAACTCGTCATTAAAAAAAGAAGTAAAAAACCAAGACTGTCGGAAAATCGTCGGCGTAATTCATGCAAAATTGATTGATAATTAGTTTGCAAAACATGACAAATTACTCAGAAATTCAAAGTACGTGCATACCGTTAGGTATTGTATAATTTATTCACAAAGTCCACGCGTGAGGCAGACGCGAAACAATTTTTCTCAATTACGAACGCGATCTGCAGCAATCAGGTATCTTCCGCATTTCGCGATTTTTTTGAAGAATTAAAGCGGACTTCGAGTTCCTTCGTCTTATATAAGTGAAATTCGCAATCTCTCGCTATTCTTTACAGGATCCGCGTCGGAAATTCGAGAGGCGCGCGAGCGACACGGAGTCTCATTAGCGCCGCCAATTTCGCGCCTCGTCCTCGTGAGAGAAATTTTCCGCGCCGCGATCCCCCGCAGCAGACAGTCCTTGCGAATCTAACAAAACAGAGACGCCGTCGTCGTCGCGAGCGAAGCAATTTTTCTCAATTACGAACGCGGAGCCGGTAATCGATATCTTCCGTATTTCGCGATTTTTTTACGAGCACTAAAGCGGACTTCGAGTTCCTTCTTAAGTGAAATTCGCAATCTCTCGCTATTCTTTACGGGATCCGCGTTGGAAATTCGAGAGGCGCGCAAGCGACACGGAATCTCATTAGCGCCGCCAATTTCGCGCCTCGTCCTCGTGAGAGAAATTTTCCGCGCCGCGATCCCCCGCAGCAGACAGTCCTTGCGAATCTAACAAAACAGACGCCGCCGCGCCGCGCCGTCGCGGTCGTCGCGCCGAGCGAGCGCGTGAGAAGTAAAAGCGCGGATCCTCTTCGGTCAATTTAAGACCCCGGTTGCACAACATCGCCGCGCGATTAAGCCTCTCGCGGGGATGGGTTTTAGCCCCGATTAGGCGCGTCCGCGCGAATTCGGTGGCGCAATGACAGTGACTACCCGTCATTTCTCTTCGTCATTTCTCGCGCGAACCCCCGTCTCCGATCGTCGCCGCGCGCCGCGGCTGCGCGGCGAGAAATTCCGAGTTGCAAGTTAGATTCGCGGGTGACTATATAGATGCTCTCGCGCGCGTGTGCCCCTATACCCGGCGAAGCGGGTCACTTTCACTTGACCGTTGATGCCCCTCCCCCCCTCCCCGTTCACAGAAAAAGGAACTGACGTGAAAGGGACTTTATGTAGGTATCTGCAATTTAACGATTTGTCTTCCGAGGATTCTCGCGAGTCGCCGGCGATAACGAGATGCTTGTTGCCAACCTGAAGCGACTATTGCGCTCAACGTCGGAAAGAGACCGCAGGCAATGTTGAAATATATACAATATGGAAAGCTCCGTTTTTTTGTGTCGGCAAGTCAACTTTAGCGACTATCTAAACGTCAGTAATATAAATAGTATAGCACGTTTCATTAGCTTAAAGCAAGCTTTGAATTTCGAAGATATATAACAGTCCACGTGATATTATATCTTTTACGATGAATTCTACTAAACTTGCTAATTCTTTTAATTATTTGTTTGCATTATTCAAAAATTTTGTATTCTTTGACGATTTCTGTGTGTATGTTACTTTCGAATGATAATTCTTTTAATTGAAGTTCCATATACCTATGCGTTTCGCCTCAATTGTCTCATTCGCTTTCTTTTCTCTGTACAGCTTTCGAGTAATGAATTCTAATTAATTTTTCATTTAATTGATAATTCTTATATGTTAAATGTGCGCTCTCGCTTTAGATCGTACACGGTTCCATATTAATTATTCAATCAAATTCTCTTTCTTCGCTGCAATATAACATAAAAATATAATTATCTGACGGATCAAAGGCTGATTCCGCGTGCCACAGGAAACCGCAGATAAATCTGTCAAGATACAATAAGGAAATGTTGAGCGAAGTGTAATTCGCGGCGTCCAACAGGGCGATGATGAAACGCGGGTTCGATGTCTTCGAAGAGTTTAGCATCCCTATCGTTGCGTTTCATTTTTTAATTAATTCGAAACTCTGCGGGCGCAGATGCAGCGCACAATCTTCGAAAAGAATCCTGTCAGATACTTCGAACTTGGTCTTTATATAAATAATTTATCATCAAAAGATATTTATATATGTGCACAAGAACCAAATGCAGATTAATTGTAAGATTTGGGCAGAATTATTTCGAAAAAGTTTCGCGTATAAAATTGTATGTAAATGGCTACGATCAATCTGTATCGCAAATCAATTGTACATCTTGTACTATTATACGGATTACAAGTACGTGCAATCCGTATTTTTTTCTTAACGATAATATCAAGCTGGACGTGACATTTTATACGAGGTTGTTCGAGCTATTATTCGGATAATAAGACACTATTTGATTAAGACATCCGGCCTTATTATGAAAATGATAGCTATTTTCCCCGCGTTTTCACGATACTCATTTAAGCTTTTACTGTCACATTTCGGGATAATCTTATAGCTGAGAAACGAGGTTCCTATTGCGGTCAGAGTGATGCGGACGTCCGGGTGAAGGATAATCAATGCATCGCGAGGTATCATTTAGCGATTGGAAGGTCGCCAACCTATACGATTTACACATAGCTTGCATCATCGGTTACCCAGACAATGAGAAATTTAATTGCTTCCTCCGTGGAGGGTCTACATCTAAAAATCTCTTGCACCATCCTTAAAATATTCCTTCTTAATCCCAGCAAATACTTCTGGCAGTGTCGAACGCCAAGCCCGGTTCATGCTAATGGAATGAAAGTATACGAGCATTTTAATTTTACCGCAAAGAGTTGCGTCAGTAGCGCATCACGTTATAACGCAGTCGCATCGTTTAATCAGGAAACGTACGGTACATCTGGACGTCCGGCCGTAAATGCAACTTTAACGGCTGCGACCGACCCGATCTTCAGCCCCAGAACATCAACGGATGGTTCTGGTCTGGATCCGGAGTCAAGATCGGACCGACGACCCAGCGTAACACCGGGGACTGGAGCAACACCGGAGGATACGGCCAACCGCAGCCGGACAATCGTGAAGCTGCACAGGTACAGAGTTTACTTTGTCTTTAATCTTGAAATATTGGAATAATTATACATACACGAAAAGATTAATTTTGCTGGACACAGATCTAAAAATGTAATGTTCGTTGGACTATCAAAATGATTTTGTTGGAAATTCAAACTGATTGCTAGAAACGTTTTACAGCAATGCTTATCATTTTTGAGTTTGCAACAAAGTTATTTTCAGATAAAAATTCTTTCACTTTCCAGCAAAATCGTTCTTTCCGTGTATGATTCCGATAGGTATGACTCGACTACCAGTACAACTGTAAATGGGCACTTTCACGCATATTTTAGCAAAAATATTACACACACACACACACACACACACACACGAGAGAGAGAGAGAGAGAGAGAGAGGGAGAGAGAGAGATTTCAAACAATTTTAAATCTACTTTAGCCGCAAATACAAATTACAATAAATATATTACGTTATTTTAATTGAAAAACACGTAACATCTTTAATAAGGCTGTACAAATGCAAATTTCATCTCTGCAAGTTTTATTATATTATAATAATAAAAATATTATATAGTGTAATTAATGTATCTATTGAAATTTGCAGCCTTATTAAAGATGTTACGTGTTTTTCGATTATATATGAAGTAATGTAATATACATATATTTACGAAAATTTGTATTTGCCGAAGCAGACTTACAAATCAAATAATATTATCAAATTGAACAATATGATTATATTCTAATATCTCTTGTTTACTCGTTTTATTGGCCCCTTCCCTTTTATTTCTAATTTATTTCTAAATACGAGCCAACACACAATTTTTTCTTTAAATTCAAGAATATAAAAGAGTCGTTGTGACCTCACTGAGCATTGCATCCGAGCAACGCGCTTTCCTTCATTGACCCCGTGAAACTCTAATTTATATTCTTGTAGAGTAGAGTGAAAGTGCTTTGGCATCTCCGGATTTATTGCTGCTGTCATATAAGTGACCTTTAGTAATTTTTATCAGTGTCTCGCTCTCGTGACTTCCCGCTATCAATTAAGTATAAAAGCTACTTAAGATCATATATATTTGGTTTTTTAAATTTTTAAATGAAAACATCTCAAAAAAAATTGTGATTCGTATTGTTTTAGAATTTTTCATTGTTACACTGCTTTTTGAAAACTTCCTGTGCTTCCTAATGTTGTACAAAGAAAGATATATATTTTAAAGTAAATTTTAATTTTAAAATATGTTTCGTTTATAAATAAAATTATTCATAATTACACGGGAGAGATTTCCCGCTATCAATTAAATATAAAACTTTATTTTTACTTCAAAAGTGAGAATTACCGTTAATTCAATGAGATAAATTAAGCAAGATATTTTTAATGACTTAATAATATCTCTAATTATAAACGTACATACATGGAAAGAACGATTTTGCTGGAAAATCTAAACATTTTGCTGGATACAGATCTGAAAATAATTTTATTGGACTATAAAAATAATTTTTTGGGGAATTTGGAAATGATGAGCATTGCTGTAAAACGTTTTGATATTTTAAATTTTTAACAATCGATTTGAATTTCCAATAAAATTATTTTCAAATCTGTGCCAGAAGGTCTAAAACGCTGGATATAGCAAAATTTTTAGGCCTTCCAGCAAAGTCGTTCTTTTCGTGATAACAAAGTTCCAAGTTCCAAGAGCAAAAACTTAGAAAAAAAGGCTCGAAACGCGTCATTTGAACTTAAGCGCCTTCTCTTCGAGGACGAAGTCTTATGTTAGACTCGGGGGTTGAATTATTTCGTCCACTTGCAGGGTAACGACGAGTCCTGCCTATCCATCTTGAACAACTTCTACAACGACGGCATCAAATGGCACGACGTGGCCTGCCACCATGTGAAGCCCTTCGTGTGCGAAGACAGCGACGAGCTTCTCAACTTCGTCGCGTCCCGGAATCCAGGAATCCGTCTATAAAAAGATCCAATTGTAGACGGGCGAGTTGACCACCATCGTATACGCCAAGATACGATAATTTAAACGCGACGGTATTTCACGCGCATCGCGTATTTTTCCCTTCGTCGTACGTTTATTATTTATAATTTACACTAACCGATGATATCTCTCTCTCTCTCTCTCTCTCTCCTTCTCTCCTCCCCCTCTCACTCTCTCTTCCTCCCTGTTTCTCTCTCTCTCTCTTTCTTTTTCTCTCTATCTCTCTAACGGGCCGCGATTGTAGTGCTGTGCAATTCATCGTAAGCGAAAAAAATCGATCGGTATAGCTCGAAGTAGGCGGTAAATGCATTTAGTGTTGTATACGCGTAAATTTCTTATATAATTTCCCTTTAAATCCCTTTCGTAGATGAATAAATGCATTTTCTCATTTGTATTTAAGGTGTCTCGTCATTTTTAATCTAGACCCGCATTCCTTTTCTCCCATGCTTTTACACATAGATATATTCGAATTAGAGAATGGATGAGCTAAAGAAACGTGAAAATTTAAATGAGTAAAATAAAAACTTAGAAGCTTCATTCAATTAATTAAAATTATGCATACAAAGATTCCCGTATCTTTGACCCATCCTTTATCAAGACTACTGATCGCTCTGCCGATTTTCGTATAGAAAGAGACAGAAGCTCACCAAGCTGCACTATATAATTTCTAATATGTATATATGCAAGAGGGCCACTTTGCTGTATGCCACGTGATTTGAATGTGCCACGTGTTCTGCGTTATCACGTGCATGCAGCGAATTCTGATTGTGTTCCAAAATTGCTAGCGCTGAAAATCGTGCTGTAATGCACGTAACATAAATTATAGATTGTCAATGCTGGCAGTAAATTCTGAAACACTGTCTGTAGTTGTACTGTACTGAAATGCTGATGAAATGGAAGAGATCTGAAAATATCGACTTAAAGACAGTTGTTCATAACCATATACACTTTTTTTTAAATAACGATTATGGAACATTAGATACATTTAGGAATATACATATATATATATATATATATATATATATATGTATATATATTCCTAAATGTATCTAATGTTCTTTGGTGATTTATAATGCGCGTTGATCGGATTATAGATTCTGGAGTCAGGAATCGGTGAAGTGACGGACTTAAGAAAAAATTTTTGTCTTCACGTTAACGTCTTTTAGATCTTTTATTCCGAACTCGCGTGACTTTCTCTGCGACTGTACCATTCGACTTTTACACGGCTCCTCGTTCTCTCATTTTTTTCGGATCGACTGCCGGAAGTCCTCCCATTTTTAAACGTTATTTTTTCGTTACTTGATTTGTAAAAAACAAGTCATTTCTCTGTCCTTTTGCCTAAGCCGGGGATATCCGCGCTAATCGATCCGACTTTGTTTTTGCGTTTGACCTACTGTACATGTGGTACATGTGTGTATATCTGACTCATGCGTGCATGTATAACTCATGTATGTCGACATCTAGCAGGAATCTCTTTTACTTTCATTTTTTATATTTAATTTATTTGAGGCTGTGCGATGCAATCGCCACAGTTCCATAATCGTTATTTTAAATATTTAAAATTTGCTAATATTTGAATTTATTTAAAATATTGTTGTAATTACCATCCATGTTTGCATGATTGATCATAAAGATGACAATAGTAGAAGAAAAAAATTGTAATTTTGCAGTAATATATATATATATATATATATACATATATATACATATGTATGTACAGAGTGTCCCTGTATAAGTGGCCACCCCTTTTATCGTGTAAACTAATAGAGATAGACCTAATAAATATAATATCAAATTAAACGGCTCTGACTAAATTTTATTGTAAGCACAGTGATCACTTAGAAATATTATTTTAGTCTATTGCATGTGCGTGTGGATATGTAGCGCCAGGATCAGAGTACTCTATTCGTTAGTCTTGTGCTAGGATGATATCCGAATAATAAGTATTACAGTTTTGAGGAGTATCGAGACTAAATTCACTTTATTCGAATGTACAGTATAGAATCAGCACGTCTGATCGCGTGTTTCTGATCGGAGTGTTTCAACCGAATCTCCTCCTTTGTCCATCGCGCGGTCGCTAAACCTCTCTCGTCTCTTCCGCCTTGCTGTTTTCCACGTGTTTGCGTCAACATGTTTTTAAGTTATCGTGACCTCTTTTTGTGTGGCGAACAGCTGATCCTACCGTGTCACCATCTAATCGTGTGTTTCGCAGATGTTTCGCAGATTTCATAAGTAACGAATATTTTAAAGCGCGGGCTAACTTCGAGGTAGTGGCGATGCAATCGCCACATTATCTATGTTAGAGAGCGGAAAAACATGATTAATTTTTGCACGGTAACGTGATAATTTTAATATGATAAAAGTTGTAGCGTTTCTTTTAACGAATACAACGATGTATGATATAACAAAATTGTTTTACGAATTATAAGAGCTATTTTGATTTAAAATTTTGCGGGCAGCTACTATCTTTTCAATTTCGGCCCTGTGATGTGGCCAACTTCCGACTCTCACACTAACGAGAGTACTATGATCAGACAAAAACATTACACGTCAATTGTCAACGCAAAAATCAGAAGTTGGCCTCACCGCAGGGCCGAAATTGAAAAGATAGTAACTACCCGCAAAATTTTAAACCAAAATATCTCTTATAATTCGTAAAACAATTTCGTTATGTTACATATTGTTGTATTCGTTAAAAAGAATGCTACAACTTTTATCATATTAAAATTATCACCTTACCGTGCAAAAATTAATCTTGCTTTTCGCTCTCTAACATAGATAATATTTCTAAGTGATCACTCTGCTTACAATAAAGTTTGGTCAGTGCCGTTTAATTTGATATTATATTTATTAGGTCTATCTGTATTAGTTTACGAGATAAAAAGGAGTGGCCACTTATACGGGGACACTCTGTGTATATACTGTCTCTTATACACATCTCTGAGCGGGCTGGCAAG